CGCGGAGCTGGGGGCCGATGGCCAGATGTCTGGCGGGCGGGCGATCGCTGACGAGATGAACGGTGAGCGGGCGAACGATGACGATGCGAGCGGCGGTCACGAGACCGGCTCCGCGATGCCGCGCGACGAGGCGAACGAGGCGACCGCTGCGTACGAGGCGACCGCGGCGAACGAGCCACACCGTGACGATCGTCGCGGCGGCTCTCCCGCTTATCGTCGCGAGCTGCCAACGAACGACGGCGAGGCGAACGCTCCGGGTGCGCCACAGCCTCTGCGCCGGAGCGCGCGACGGACACCGCGCGCAGGGGCTCCCGCGGTGACGAGGACCTGCCCCCGCGCGGAGCCAACTCGCGCCGCTGATCCTCGAAGCGGCGGCGAATCTGATCAGCGGACGCCGGCGGAGCAACAGGCACGCTCGCGGCTGGGCGCGCAGGAGGGGATCGCTCCGCGGTGCGGTCACGGCCCAGAGCGCCAAGGAAATCCATTGGCTAGCGCTCAGGGCGCTCCACTGACACAAGAGGAGCCGTCGACGCCGATCTCCCAGGCGCAACAGGCGGCACCTGTGGCAGCCACTCCGAGGAGCGGACGGGGAAGCACGCGGGGGAGAGGCGGGCGTCGAGGAGCGCGCGGAGGTCAGCGGAGTGCAGGGCAAGCGGCGAGGGGGAATCCGCGCCAACTACCGAGCCCAATCTGGTTGGGGGAGCCGGCGGAAGGAGTCACGCGCCAGTCGTTCGCTAGACGCGGGGGGGGAGGAGGAACGACAGCGCAAGCAGTGAGAATCGGTGATACAAACACAGAGGGGAGCGACGACGAATATGTACCGTCAGATCTGAGGCAACCTGACAACCCTGACTCACCTCTCGCGGAAACAGGGGAGGAGCAGGCGCAGCAGCAGGAGAGAGGTTCTAGCCGGCGAAGGAACCGCAGACCCCAACCCCCTCCAGACCAAGCCCTGTCAGCGTCCCAGCTGGCATCGAGGGAGGATCTCTTTGAGATCGCGATGAGCTGGGACCCTTCAACCCTAACGTCGACCACTCACCTGCCTATCGTCCGCCGCCTGCCGCCGCAGATACTAAGCGACTACTCCACCTGTATGCTGGCCGCCCTCTTACGGATCTCTAAACTGCCAAACTGCGCGGGAGCGTGGCGGGTCCTCATGTTCCTGCCACGTCTCACCTTACGACTTAGCAGGAGGTCCAGCTCTAGGTGGAAGGTGTTACGAGAACAGATGCACCTATTCAGATGTGGCCACTGGAACCAGCTGTACAGTGACTACGTGGGGTCTGCACCAAGCTGAGCCACCTCAGCACCAAAATGACCCCCTGGGAATCTGCTCACGTGTGGAGGGGTTGGTGAAACGGGGTTGGTGAAAAGCGTTGGCAGCCCTTCAACCCTCGCCAGCTGCCCCTGCGACGATCGCAACATTGCAGCAGTTGGAATTGAAACATCCCCAACCCCAAATTGAGCTGCCCGACTGGGTCCACAACTACACAACACCCACGCAATTCTCGTGCACCGCGGAACGCTTCTCAGACGTCCTCGGAGAATGCCCCAGCGGAGTTGGGGCTGGTCCATCAGGGTCAACATTTGAACACTACCGCGACCCAGCCCTAAGTAACATCGAAGTGCTGGGGCACCTGCACTCCGCCGTCACACACCTTCTCTCGACGAATCTCTCCACCGAGGTTGCAGCACTACTCTCGCCATCCCGCCTCATCGCCTTCGCGAAACCAGGGGGGGGGGGGTACGCCCTATCGCGATAGGGGAATCCCTGCTTCGGCTGGCAGCAAAGGTGGCACTCTCGGAACTACAAGGAGAAACAAGGCAATTTTTCTTACCCCAGCAATTCGGCGTGGCAGTCCCAGGCGGAGCCGAGTTCGTTATACACGCCGTCAGAGACCTCACCACTTCACAACCCTCCCGCCTAGTCCTCCAACTCGACATTGAAAACGCTTCCAACTCCGTAGAGAGGAAAGCGTTCTTCAACGCACTCACCAACACCCCGTTAGCACCGCTCATACCTTTCACCCGCTCCTTCTACGCAACGCCTTCTCAGCTGCTGACCGATCCCCGCTTGAGCACAACGGCACTCACCAGCGGAAGGGGAGTTAGGCAGGGGGACCCCCTCGGACCCCTGCTGTTCGCAGCATCAATCCAGCAGCACCTCAGACGCACAGCAGCAGAGCACCCAGAAGTCACGATCCTAGCGTACGCAGATGACATCACCATGATCAGACCGGCGACAGCAACGCTCGGCGCGCTAAGGTTGCTGGCGCCGCTGCTGGCCCAGGATGGCCTCACCTGCAACCTCAGAAAGTCGTCGGCGTGGTCCACGACGCCGCTTGAAGGTGATGAGCTCCCAGAGGGCCTCCCCCTCACCCACGAGGGGGTACGGGTGCTGGGAAGTCCCGTGGGGTCACAGCGCTTCTGCTCTGACCTAGTCCGCAGCACTCTGACAGACGCGGCGGCACCCCTAGGCTCCCTAGCATCCATCCATCCACAGCATGCCCTCCTGCTATTGTCCCGCTGCATCAGCCGCAGAATCGGCTACCTGCTGCGCACCACCCCAGCAGATGTCCTACCCCTCTCGGAATGGCACGCGTGGTGCGCTGAACTGCTCAACACCACCTTGACTGCCGCCAGCATTCAACCACCCCGCCGCGAAGCCGAGTTCAATTTCCTCATCCGCCAAGCAACCCTCCCAGTAGCCCTAGGCGGACTGGGCCTCACGGACCCCACAACAGAAGCAGCTCCGGCCTACCTGGCATCAACGACGGAGGCGCTACGCCTACTCCGCTCACTTGACCTACCAGCAACCGCGGCGCTGGGGAGCAACAGCAACGCCCTGCAGCCGTCTGCAGCACACTCGGTCACCATCCAAGACATGGAGGGACGACTGCCGCCGCTGGCGCTGCAACACCTCCGTGAGGAGCAAGAAACCCCGTCCCAAGACCAGCTTCAGCGCGCCCTCTCTCAGGAGGTGCACGCGGCAAAGGCCGACGCCCTGACAGAGGAATCACGCTCAATCAGGTCAGCCCCCGAGATGGGCCACACGCTCCGCCTCGTCAGCCTGAGAGGCGAGGGAGCGGGAGCATGGCTGCAAGCCCTACCCCTGACACCAGACCTCTGCTTCTCACCAGGGCAATTCCGAACAGCCCTGGCCTTCCGCATGGGCATCCGACAGAATGTACCTACCGTGTGCGAGTGTGGAGAGCTCGTGGCCGACTGCAGCCTACCCAACCACTTACTCCGCTGCAGCACAGGTCCGGACAGAACGCGCACACACAACCAGCTGGCCTTCGCCGTGACTAAAATGGCGAGGGAGGCACAGCTGGTGGTATACCTGGAGAATGCAATGTACTCACCACCGGATGACCCGAAGAAGGCAGATGTGATTGTACGAGACCCGGACAGTGGAGAGACCTGGATCACAGACACTACTATCACTGACCCTGTGCTGCACAACCGAGACCCGACAGCCCGCAAACCCCCAGGCTGGGCTGCAAGGGAGGCACAGAGGCGGAAGGAGAGGGACTACTACAGGCACACCGAACACGTGGTGTTCTGCGCCCTGGCCGTCGAGACCTACGGGGCAAACGCGCCCCCCACGACAACATTTCTTAAGTTGCTGGCCACAGCAGCGGCTAGGAACAGGTTCAGGGCCAACCCCTTGGCCAAATCGGCCAAGAAGATGGCCTGCCACTTCAGAACAAGCTGTTCATAATGTAGACGCCCTTTTCACTCCTTTTGTTTCTCTATTGCCTATTCCTCAGGCTTTGCTATACCATTTGGAAACTCAAGGTCCTCGCAGTAGTGGCAATTTGTAGGACTAATAGTGTTGTATTGTTTCGGTACTTATCTTTGCATCTTCTGTTGATTTTCTTTGTAAGTTTCTTCTGCATTGGTTTGTTTTTGTGTGTGTGTGTGTTTGTCTGATCGTGTGCGTATGTGTCTGTATGTGTGACATTCATCTATCATATCCATCTATTATTTCATTAACAATGCATGTCTGTGGTTTGTAAAAATGAGAATCAGTTCTATCATTTCCCAGAGGTTCATTGAGTTACACTCAAAAGGGTACGCTCACTTGAACTGGATTTGATAGGGTGATCTTGTTTTTTAATTTCACAGATTGTGTTGTTTCATGTGATTGCTGATTATTCAACAACTATGCTATTGACTTCCCCCCCATGCTAGGCTGGGGATGCGGTAGCATAGTTTTTGGGTCGTTAGCTGTCGCGCATCTTTATCATTACATATATGCATCATGGTTTTACAGTAATAAGCATCATTAATACTATCCATTCATTATTCATCTTATTATATCATAAAACAACATTTCATTTATCTACATTCACCAATCATTATATTCATTTTTCCATATTATGTATGGTAGTAAAGCATAACGTAGTGAAGGACAAACAGTCTGGCGAGGGCAGACAGAGAATATCTAGAAAATAACACATTATAAGGGCGTGTGTCCTTTGGGGCGAACTTTTGCTAAAGTTCAAACTTTTAAAGAGGTTATATACGGTAGGATACAGTTGCAAAACGTTTTGCTACGGTTCAAAGCGGTTAGAGTTCGAACTCGACATTTTTTCGCCAAAGGACACACACCCTAATTGAACTAGAGAATATCTTATGAAAGTTATGTAGCTGGCGAGGGCATCCAGCTTTTTATTTCACATTTTGTACAAAAAAAAAAAAAAAAATGTGAAAAAAAAAAACTGCCCAAATCGATTGTAATAGGTTGCTTCGCAACCCAAAAAAAAAAAAAAAAAAAAAAAAACACACACACACACACACTTAACCAGGCTGGGTTGAGACGTGCCTCTGGGAGACAAGCAAGAGTGCACTGCAAACCATCATCCCCATTCCTCTTGACGATCCCTCGATGCACACCACAACACTGCTGAGATGGTAGACCATGTAATGCCATGCAATGGTAGACCATGTGATGCCGTGCAGGTGGATACAACAGGCATGCCCGCCCTTCTCACCTTATCCATAGCTGCCGTCAGCCATGCCATCAGTCCTCTCTTGCTCACTCCCATCAGCACAAAGCCTTCCACCTGTTCCATGCCGAGCCACACACCCCATGCCCTCCTTCCCTTCCCATGCCCCACATCCCATGCCCACAGCCCATGCCCCACATCACATGCCCACATCCCATGCCCACATCCCATGCCCCACATCCCATGCCCACATCCCATGCCCACATCACATGCCCACATCCCATGCCCCACATCCCATGCCCACATCCCATGCCCACATCCCATGCCCCACATCCCATGCCCACATCCCATGCCCCACATCCCATGCCCATATCCCATGCCCACATCCCATGCCCACTTCCCATCCCACACATACCATGCCAAAAACCGCAGACCACTCGGGCACATGCTACACATCACATGCCACAGGCATCCAATGCCGCACCACACACCACCACATCACATTCCATGTTCGATACATGCCATACAATGTACGTACCCACAGTCCAGACAGCTCATGAATAGTCAGTGATGTGACTGGAACAAATTGCTCAAGTGGCAGTGACCAGAGCGGCACAGACTGGGAGCAATCAGAGCGGCACTAACTGGGAGCAATCAGAGCGGCACTGACCGGGAGATGGGGGAAGATCTCTCTGGAGGCGAGCTGCAGCGCATCCATTCCCCTCACGATGGACTTGGCCATGGGCACTGAGAGCTGCCACTCTATCTCATCTGAATGCTTCAACGCCATTGCAAAGGAGACTGGGATAGGGGAACAGGGTGGATGGATGGATGGATGGATGGATGGATGGACGGACGGACGGACGGACGGACGGACGGACGGACGGACGGACGGACGGACGGACGGACGGACGGACGGACGGACGGACGGACGGACGGACGGACGGACGGACGGACGGACGGACGGATGGATGGGTGGATGGATGGATGGATGGATGGATGGATGGATGGATGGATGGATGGATGGATGGATGGATGGATGGATGGATGGAAGGATGGACGGACGGACGGACGGACGGACGGATGGAAGGATGGACGGACGGACGGTGCGCTCACACATGTAAAAGCATATGCACGGCGGCTGGTTAACATGCAATCACCACATGCCTTTTCTTGAACACATATGCAATCGCTTGAACTCACCCACACACCATCGCCCACTCACTCACTCACTCACTCATGCTATCACCGCACTCACTCACTCACTCACTCACTCACACGCCATCAGCTCGTCTTCTTCCAAATCTTTGAAATTGCCCGGCCCGTTAGGCCCCACATAGAAAGACATTGGCTCCATTGGCTGCTGGTGCAGCACTGCTCCCAGCATCCCCAGCTCCACTACCAGGCTGCCACGTGGCATGCCATGCCATGGACAACGCACAAGAGCACCAAATATGGGGGCATGCAGGTGACGGGTGAGGTGATGGTGCTTTTCTGACTGACGGGCGTTATGGCACTCACTCGGAAGGTAGGAACTACCAGCTCCAGCGCTACGATGCCACGTGGCACGCACTGAATGGCATGTCAGAGCGCCAGGAAGAGCACAGGACCAATTCAGCAAACACCCCTGGCCGGATATGCCTGCCTTGCTGCCCTAACCATTGCTTACTCCCCCATGACATTCTATGCACCATTCCCTGGCCAGGCCGCATCCATGCCGCTCCGCCTGATCACACCAAGACCTTCCATGGTCCACCGTGCATGCACACAAGAAAATGCTTCAGGAATAGTGGCAGCAGCAGCAGCTGCAGCAGCGGCAGCAGCAGCAGCAGCAGCAGCAACAGCAGCAGCAGCAGCAGCAGCAGCAGCAGCAGCAGCAGCAGCAGCAGCAGCAGCAGCAGCAGCAGCAACAGAAGCAACAGAAGCAACAGCAGCAGCACGGGGCAAAGGCAGCACGTACGGGGCAAAGGCAGCACGTACGGGGCAAAGGCAGCACGTACGGGGCAAAGGCAGCACGTACGGGGCAAAGGCAGCACGTACGGGGCAAAGGCAGCACGTACGGGGCGAAGGCAGCGGTGAACATCTCGTCCTTGTCGGGCACGTGGTGAAAGTAGAACTGCGACCACCCCGACCCGATCACAAACAGCACGAGCCCCTTGTGCGCGTTGTGCATGTCGTCCGGCGCCTGTGTGGAGTGGAGGAGTGCATTGCGGTTGAGAGGGGTGTGCAAAAGGGAGTGTTGAGTTGAGTCCACCCCGACCCGATCACAAACAGCACGAGCCCCTTGTGCGCGTTGTGCATGTCGTCTGGCGCCTGTGTGGAGTGGAGGAGAGCATTGAGTTGAGAGCGGGGTGCAACAGGGAGTGGAGTGGAGGAGTGTTGAGTAGAGTCCACCCTGACCCACCCGATCACAAACAGCACGAGCCCCCTGTGTGCTTTGTGCAAGTCGTCCGGCGCCTGTGGGAACGGTGACGTGTTGCGACAAGGAGAAGACAACAGAAAATTTTACGATAAATTCATGAATAAGATAGGCAATCACACTGTAATTCGAACCCACACCTGACAGATACAAACACGTTTTTTTTCCCGGCTCATCCGATAGTGCACCCGCCTTCCATTCCACGATCTTATCAGTTAACTCGTTACCATGTTACCATCGACTGTGCCTTACAATCACGGTCATCCAATGCCACCATTGTATACGGTTCGTAACGGTCCTGTTGAACCAGCGGTGAGTGGTAACCCGCAGAATGTAACCCGTCCACCACCCCTTGGGGGCCTTGTCTCGCATGCGGTTGGCCGAGTCCTCCCACCTGCTCCAACCAATGTCCGAATCCATCCGCGTTAGTAGCATTTTTTCTAATTGACGCGACGCGTACGCAAATGCAGCAAGAAATTTGCTTTCGACGAAAGTAGTGAAGCAAGCGATAGTACACCGCCTATAACCGTTTCAGCAGTTCAAGTTCACCTCTATTCAGCACACTATCCTCGTTATAAGCTCACCAGAATTCTGACGGATCCTGATCGGCATAAATGTATCGATCCAGTCGCTTCTCGCGACAGTTCCTCGCAACTTCGCAACCACTCTGCGGGAAAGCGGAGGGAGGTGACGCAGGACCCCCGGGGAGGAATGACGGCCAGAATGGCAGCGCGAAGCCTGGCGATAAAAGAAATGCGACAGCGGAAATGGACGCGACGATTGCGACGGCTGCGACGACAGAAGCTGCTTTTTGCGACCCAATCAAGTAGAAGCGCGTTAGCCAGCGACTAATGAGCGACCTGTGGGGGCGAACCATGGCGGCTGATGACGATTAGCGGACAGACGTTTCCTACACTAGCTACTTGAAAGACAAAAAGGCATCTGTTACTGCGCGCATTCAGGCACTAAGCATCTCACTGACTAATGCGCTGCGTACAGCTGTGCCCAGCTGTGGGCTGCTGGGATACCATGGCTCCTCCTGAGCTCGGATCGGTGCATTGGGGTTCAAACGGTCATTTCAACAAGTGGCTTGAAAAAATCATACGGTATGGGTAAGATCTGGGTTCCAATATCTCAAAATTGAACTAGATACACTCTGTCAGGCCCCTTCACCTAGATCCACTAAGGAATAGCAGAGTCGACAAAGTTGTGAGAAACAAATATGTGTATGTATTTGCTTCATATATAAACTGCCTATAGTAGTGCACTGTAGTGTAGTGTAACCCCCTGTTTGGTGGTGTACCTCATTTGCCTTGTTTCTCCTTTGTACTTCTTGGGCCTTTGCCCATTCTAATGCACCTTTCCCTAATCTCGATACTTGCTTCCTAAACCCTAAGGTTCTAACTTACCTTACTATCTCAACAAAAGTCAGACTTGTCAGAATACTGAACGAGAATGAATGCATTGATAAGAAACTGAGTACCCTAATTGGGTTGTACCCTTTATGGGCTTACCCCACTACAGCCTACACAATATAAACATTATGACAGATTGACACACCCGCATAGGCAAAGTGGGGGAGAACAAGTGGTCACACGACCAGTCAAGAAAAGCAAAGCAAGCTCACGGTGGATCACAAAGTCACCACACATTCTGAGCACAAGCAAATGGCCACAATGCCAGTTCATATGTAGAGTTATATAAAAGAGAACAAACAGTGTAGTGATCATAACCTAGCAAATGTAGGCATTCATATATATGTATATAGATCAGAGTACAAGCAAAATTATGAAGTGAGCAAGTGAGACAAGACAGGCACAAGGCCTAAAGCAGTACAGAAACGCTGATGATCACCAGGCTGAAGTGCCTTGGTGAAGACATCAGCAGTGTTGACCCGAGTGGCCACGTAAGCAAGACGAAGCTGACCACGCTGCTGCAACTCTCGAGTAAGGAAGTAGCGCAGAGCGATGTGCTTCGTCCTGTGCTCCAGTCTGTGCTCCTAACACAAGGCAATCATGGCCTTGTTGTGTTGTCTACGTACAGAGCTGGAGGAGAACGAGGCCGCTCTCCCAAGTCGGTCAGCAGGTAGGTGAGCCAGCGTAACTCCTGTGCAGCCATGGCCCCTGAGTAGATCGCAGCCTCACAACTGGAACTGGAAACAGAAGAAGAGCGGGTAGACCGCCAAGAAACAGAGCCGGAGCCAAGGCTGACGACCCTGTGACGACCGCTGCGTAGCCAAGTCGTCAACCCAAGACGCGTCTGCGTATCCAGTGAGGACAACTAGACCCCGTCCTCCAAGCACGAGCCCCATGCCCGACGTACTGCACAAGTAGCGCAACACCCTCTTAGCGGCCTCGTAGTGCTCCGATCGGTGTCTCCCGGGCGTAACGTAGCGTGCCAGGATGCTAAGAAGGTAGGCAAGGTCAGGTCGAGTGCAGGTTATCAGGTACATGAGGCAGCCCACAAGCTCTGGATACGGGCCACTCGGCTATACGGACTCGTCCGAAGGTTGAGCTGAGAGCGAGTGACCGGTAGGCAGAGGAGTGGACTGTGGCGAGGAGTACTGGAAGCGGAAGCGCTGAAGGACCTGGTGTACCATGTGTGACTGAGTCAGTGTGATGGTGCGCCGTGCTCACCCATGTCAGTGCAGGTGTGTCTCTTCTGCAGCTCCGACTTCACAAGGGCCAGTACCTCAGTGTCAGCAGTGGCAAAAACCAAGTCGTCGACGTACGCGAGGATGTAGAACGGCAGCAGCAAAGTGTCGGTGCGCAGAAACAGCGACGGGTCAGCAGTCGAAGGAGCAAACCCAAGAGCCGCAAGTGTCGTCCTCAGTGTGTCGTGCCACTCGCAAGGCGCCTGGCGGAGACCGTAGACTGACTGCCGGAGGCTCCGGGTACCTGCAGGAAACGACCCAGTGAAGCCAGGTGGGCGGTGCAGCTAGATCTCCTCGTGCAGTCTACCCTGTAGGAAAGCTAAGCTGAAGTTAAGAGAGTGAAGCTCGTTGTCACGCTGAGCGGCGATGTGCAGCAGCACCCGAAGAGTGGTCATCTTCGGGGTAGGGGAGAAGGTCTGGAAGAAGTCAACTCCCTGTCGCTGACTAAAGCCTCGTGCAACGTAACGAACCTTGAAGACAGGCGGAGAACCCGGCGGCCGCTTCACCTGAAAATCCACAAGCCATCGACTATGTTCGCCCCAGGAGGGGGAACTGCATCGACGTGAGTGCCTGTGGACTTCCAGGATGCCATCTCTGCGTCCATGGCTGTCTGCCACTGAGAGGAGTAGGGACCCATAATCGCCTCTGCGTAAGAGCACGGGGTCGGGATGCCTGGTGCATCCGGGTCTCCCTCGGGTGCAAGCAGCATGGCCACGAGATGAGGTACAACAGCTGCAAGACACTCAAAGTCCTCCTGCCTGTCCTCAATGACGTCTGTGCCAAGAGAACACTCACCCCCGACGGACAGTCAGACTCAGACTCAGCAACAAGACTAGAGGCGTAATCGAGACGACACGCAACAGCAAAGTCAACAAGCCCGGCAACGAGGGCAGACGCAGCAGTGGACTCAAACAAAGGGTCAGTGACAACAGTGGCTAGGAGAAGTGTGACAGTAGGGCTGGCAGCACGAACCAAGTCAGACTCAGGGTCCGGAACCTCAGGAAGGGAGGACGCCGAAGGAGACGGCAGAGGAACTCTCAGTGGAATAGAGGAAGGACGAAGTGCCATAGTGTGAGTACATGGCACAGGGGGAGGACGAGGACGGGCGACACGACCAGCGCGAACAGGTGGGGAAGCACGAGTCTCAGGCTCACGACGCTCAGTCAGGGACTCAGTCACCTCAGTGTGAGGAGCAGGAGCAGGCAGTAGGGAGCCAGGCAGTAGCTGTGGCTGAGACTGGTCTGTCGGTGGACACAGGAGAGGTGGAGTTCTGCCAGTGGAGGACGGGAGACTAAGAACCTGGCGCAGGACCGAGTCGGGCGGAGGCAGGGACGACTGCGGCCGCGGGTAGAAAAATGGTCGGCGCAGGGCAGTACCAGCAACTCCAGCAGCACCTCAAGCACCTCCAGCACCAGCAGTACCACCTGCTCTGGTAGCTCTAGCACCTCCAGCACGAGCACCTCCAGGACCAGAAGCTCCTGCACTCCCAGTACCTCCAGCTCCAGCGCCTCCAGCACAAGGAGCACCTCCAGCGCCTCCAGAACCAGCAGCACAAGCTGTCAGAATAGTGAAGGAAGGAATGATTGAAATAGAAATGAGATGGGTACAAATAGGGAAACCTAGAAATGTTGTACCCCCTATTGTCTAACCCACTACAGCCTAAACAGGCTATAACATATGTTTGACACACCCCCATAGGCAAAGTGGGGGAGAACAAGAGGTCACAAGACCAGTCAAGAAAAGCAAAGCAAGCTCAGGGTGGATCTCAAGGATACCACACAAATTCCGAGCACAAGCAAGCGGTCACAAGACCAGTTCACATGCAGTTTGATAATACAACAAGAAGTACAGTGATCACAACCTAGCAAGTGTAAACATGCAGGTAGACATATATAAGGATCACAGTACAAGCAGAGTCAAGAAGTAAGCAAGTGAGGCACAGTAGGCACAAGGCCTAGAACAGTACAGAAACGCTGATGATCACAGGGCTGAAGGGCCTTGGTGAACACATCAGCAGTGTTGGCCCGAGTGGCCACGTAAGCAAGACGAAGCTGACCACGCTGCTGCAACTCTCGAGCAAGGGAGTAGCGCAGAGCAAGGAAGTAGCGCAGTAGCGCTGTGTCGTGCCACTCACGGGGTGCCTGGCGGAGACCGTAGACTGGCCGCCGGAGGCTCCACTGGGTACCAGCAGGAAACGACCCAGTGAAGCCAGGTGGGCGGCGCAGCCAGATCTTCTCGTGCAGGCTGCCCTGCAGGAAAGCAGTGCTGAAGTCAAGAGAGTGGAGCTCGTAGTCACGCTGAGCGGCGACGTGCAGCAGAACCCGAAGAGTGGTCATCTTCGGGGTAGGGGAGAAGGTCTGGAAGAAGTCAACTCCCTCACGCTGACTGAAGCCTCGTGCAACGTAACGCGCCTTGAAGACAGGCGGAGAACCCGGCGGCCGCTTCACCCTGAAAATCCACATGCCACTGACGATGTTCGCCCCAGGCGGGGGAACCTCGTCGACGTAGGTGCCTGTGGACTTCCAGGAAGCCATCTCTGCGTCCATGGCTGACTGCCACTGAGAGGAGTAGGGACCCTCTATCGCCTCTGCGTAAGAGCGCGGGGTCGGGATGTCTGGTGCATCCGGGTCTAGACGACAGGCGGCAGCAAAGTCAACAAGCTCAGCCACTAGAGCAGACGCAGCAGTGGACTCAAAGGAAGGGTCAGTGACCACAGTAGCGAGGAAACGCGTGACAGTAGGACTGGCAGCACGAAGGGAGTCAGACTCCGGGTCCGGACCGT